CATATATTTCATAATTTTTTTATTAAAATTTAAAAACATATGACTAAAGATATTACTTTTGTCATAATTTACATTAAGTTAAGTTTTTTTTTCTATATATATTCCAATATTATGGCATTGAAGTAATTTGATTTGGATCATGGCATAATCTTCTATATTATTGTATTTTTAATCATGGTGAAGGGCTTGAATCATTCAAAAGTGAAATATGTCTTCATGTATAAGTTTATAACACTGATGTGTCATAAATATAAGTATCAAACTTTAGGCATTAGATTTTAGAATAGATAAAAACTATTCTATATGAATGTTATGCAAGGACCTAACTTTATGAATTATTCATAGCACGTTATACAGGGTGTCTTAATGGTAACAGTCTTTGTTATTTGCATTGAGGTAGATTTTAAGCCACATTATATGATGTTGCAGTATTCCCTTCAAATAATGACCATGAACACATTAAGTATAAGAAAGGATGATTGGCTGATGGAGATGCTTCTCACGGATTACTCATACGTTATTTCTGCAATTTGTTCAGTGCCTATTAATTTCCCAGGCCTGAAATATTGGAAGGCACTTAAGGTAACTCTATATTTACTCATATACCTTAATAAAAATACAAGCTTTATGTGCTTGAAAAATAAAATAATTTGCTTTATGAGTCCATTTTTATATGTAAACATGCTAATATAAAATATGATTGATGTTTCTTATATTAAAAACTTTTGCAACTAAATAATTAATAAGATTTAATCATAGCTTAATTAGAAAAAAATAAAATCACATAAAAAGTAATCAATATCTTAAAGAAAAATAGAAAATATCAATGAATATGTTATATTATAATGTAATAAGCATCTTCATTTATCATTTACTTTTAAGAACATAAGTCATAAGTTGTACAAGAATTGTTGCACATGTTAGAAAACTTATGACAAGCGAGAGAAGTTTGTGTTGTAGGAATGTACGAAAATCACTTAGAAACAAATAAGTTAAGAGAACTACACATAAGACAGAATATTATTTTCACAAAAAAAATGAAATTAAAAATATTATAGCGTCTTATCTATTTAAAATAGCTGTGCTAGTATGAGTTAAAATTATGAATGGTATTGCACCCCATAGTTGAAAAAGATAAACTAATAAAACGTAATAAAGTTTGAATAATGGAATATGATTTCTCATATAGAAGTAATAGATTTTGGGTCTGCTTGGGATAGCTTTCTATCTACTTTGCATTTTAGATAGCCACCATAGCTTCGTTTGGGAAGCTACTTTCTGAAAAATTATGTTGTGGGAAACTATTTTTTTCAAATTTACCTGCAGAATAACAATAGTTGTAAGGGTTTGTTTTGGGCGGCTGCAACTTTTGAAAAATGTGGTAGTAAAGTTGTGGGGAAGAAACCAACTTCTTAGAAAGTTACACTAGAAATTATAAGTGCATATTTTTTTCAAAAAATCACACATATCTCTTACAACCTCTGTACTTTAACAGATCATGTTGAAAAAAACAGCATCCCGTCAAAGAAATTTCAAGAAAATAATAAGAAAATTGTTCCCCAAACGGAACTGTAGCTGCAGTTTGAAACTTTAAGTAAACAGAAAGCTGTCCGAAACATATCCTAAGAATCCTATTGCATGAAATTTGGGAAAAAATACTTATTAATAATTTTAATTGTAGATTTTTAAGAAGTTATTTGCTCCACCTCAGCTCTATTACCACATTTTTAAGAAGCTGCAATATGTTTTAAAGTTTAATTGTAAAATAAAAATTTTATTGTTGCATGCAATTAGAAAAAAAAAAAGTTATTTGCTTTATTGAGTATTACATGACGACTGTAGATTCATTTTAACTTTTTGAAGGCGAGGAGAAATGTCTTGAAGATTTTGAGGAAAATAATGAAAGACAGGATTACATTAATGTCTAAAGATGTTGAAGATGGCAAAGAAGAAGCTGAAAATCATCTCAAAGCTGAAGGAAGAACTAAATCAGACTATGATTTACTGGACTTGCTGCTTATGAAAAGAGCAGAATTCTCCAATGAAGTTATTGAGGACTTCATTTTTGGTTCCATTTTTGCTGGACATGATTCTACTTCAAGAGCAATCGCTTTCATGCTCTATCTCCTAGCAGATTCTCCACAAGTTGTCAAAAGGCTGCAGGTAATTATATTTGATATTTTTAATTAATTTCTCTTTGAAGAATTTGCTCAGTTCAGATGATTTGATTCAGGAAGAGCACCTTCAAATTGTCAAATCCAAGTCAAAATTAGACCGCAAACTATCATGGGAAGATTACAGAAATATGGAGTTCAGCAAATGTGTAAGTCAAATGATTTATTATAACTTTTTTCTTGTCTTAATTATTTTTTAGCTTTTTGGTTCTATTATTATTATTTTTATTTAATATAATTTTAAAAAAAATAATAACTTATTAAGGTTGTTAAATAACTTATTAAGGTTGTTAATGAGACCCTGCGGCTCAGCAATGTTGCTCCTTTCATTCCCAGGATGACAACTGAAGAGGTCAAGTATAAAGGTTAGTTCTGTTAAACTACTTTCATTACATTATTATATTTAAACAAATATCATTGAATGTTATATGCATTATTACATACATTTTAAGGTTTTGTACATATATATTACCAACATTTTTTAAAGCTATTAATCATATTTTTACTTTAACCAATGAAGAAAGTTCACTTTCTTTTGTAGGTTTTGTTATTCCAAAAGGCAATCTTGTAGTAGCCCACATGTGTGCAGTACATTTAGATCCTTCAAATCATGACAACCCCATGGACTTTAATCCATGGAGATGGATGGTGAGCCCACATGTGTGCAGTACTATCTTTTTGCATGCATCTTCAATAAATTGCAACAACAATTAGAATAACATTTGTATTTTCTTCTTTAACTTTAGGGTCCAAATTGTGAGAAAACTAAGAAGGGTTACATGGCATTTGGTGGTGGTGCAAGAAAGTGCCCAGGAGAAAATCTTGCATTATTAGAAATGGTTATCTTTCTTCATCACGCCATTCTTAACTATGAGTGGGAGATTGCTAATAAAGATCATCCCATGCATCTTCCTTATCTTGAATTTCCAAAGGGCTTGCCACTTAGGGTTCATGCTACTCAAATATTAAATGATTAGCAATAACACCTTAATTTAATTATATTTGTTATATGTATTATTTTTTCTATATCATTAAGTCATGAATATTATCTTATATTGCTTGACACTATGTATTATTGTCTATAAAGGGTATGATGCTTTCATAAAGGTGAAGTGAATGATTTTGTTTTCAAACATGTCATATTATTTAAAGTCTTATTTTGTACAGATTCTTGCAATACATATATATATTATATTATATTAAAAGGAATCACCAGAGGCTATTATCTGAGTCTCCAGCCACACCTAATATGTCTTAAAATTCGAATACCACCTCCTTAAGATCAACTATGTCAGATAAGATTCAAACACCCAACGTGAGGGATATTATACCGTGGATGCCAACCAACAAGCCGGAGTACAACATGTATATATATGTGTGTATATATATATATATATATTTCTCGTATATAATGAAGGCTAAATTGATAAAGGGTGTAAAAAAAAAACTTAATCTTATGTTTAATTAAGCTTTATAATTGTACAAAACTTAAATTATCTACGGTCTTTATCAGATTGGGTCAACTATATCCTTTGATTAAGTAGATGAGGGATTAGATAGCCCAGGATGACAAAATTATTGGATTTTGATCGGGCTTGTCATTGTTCCCTCACCGTCCACTCTAAGCTAATGGTGATCAATTTAATTATTTTAAAATTTAGTCATTGTTATTAGACGATGAGTTTGGACACTTATCACCTTCATGACCATCCTTAATCAAAAGTGCTATCCCGTTATCGGAAGGGGTAAATAATTATAGGGGTTTGCACCTATGAAAAACCTTGTCCCCGGATAAAAAAATCCTTATAAAGTGAGTAAGAAATCTCTAGATTGTCTTATCTAAAATTTTAATCTCTTTTAAAAATTTAACTCAACAAACCAAAAAATTCAAAAAAAAACCTCTAGTGCAAGAAGTCAGCGCATCAAATGTTTAGAGCCCACAAGTTGTTCAACTTTTATTTTGTAAATTAAAATCCTCCCTAGTTTAATTTCATTACAGATGTTACGATCATATACAAAATGAATAGGTTGAACTCAATGGAACCACTTGAGTAATCAGCGATCTAAGCTTAAAGTTGTTTCTAGCAAAAGGAACTACAAGAATGTTCTCTCAAAGAGTTTTTCATTGAGGACCTCTAGTTGCATGATGAATACTCTGGTTGAGCTGATGAATTCTTTGGGTGAATGGTTATGATTTGTGGGTGACTTCATTAGTCTTTCAAACTAGTTCAACAACTTCTAACAATGGGTCAAGCTAGATCTAACTCTTTTGAGACTAATTATAATTTGTGGGTGGCTTCATTAGTTTTTCAAGCTAGTTCAACCACTTAGAACAAATCTACGAGCTAAATCTAACTCTTATGAGACTTATTTGAGTTCCGCTAAGTTAAATTTTTAAGAAAAGGATAAGACGAGAGTGCCTATGAACCAACTCTTAAGGTATTCACAACCTAAAATTGAGATGAGATTGTGAGTGTCAGCATGCATACCATTGACATCTGCTAAATGCCCCCCAACTAGCCCAACCAGCTAGCATCTAAAAAGATTTTTGGTGATGGCGAGATCCTTTTCAATGATGATATGTTTATCCTGAATAAGTGACTTTGAAAGCGTCAAAGCCGAACAAAGACATTGATGATGCAGTTGCTGCTAATATTGGGATTAAGCATGTTTGAGAAATGATAGAGGGTCGGTATACTCAATAGTGTGGAGGAAGCATAGCAAGAGGAGAGTGGGCTTGTTGGTGAGGACGAAGCGACAAGAGGAGAGTGCATTTGGAACAATACCCTCTAGGTGTGCTTTATTTGTGAGGGAAGGGTATTGTGATTTCGGTTGATACATTAATTATGATTTATGCATAGATTTAACTTGTCCATTAGCATAATTGAAAGGCTTATTAAGCCGGATGGGATCTCTTTTTGTTGGGGTTCTTGCGGCTTGTGCGAGGAGTGGAATGGTTGAGGAGGGATTGAAATTTTACAAGATGATGAAGGAAGACTACAACATAGAATGTGGATCCAAGCACTACGAGTGTTTGGCTGAGCTTCTCAACACTGTTTCTATACACGAGAAGCTAGCCGAGCTTTCTTTTGAACGAGAAAGCAAGGTGATGGATATCAAGGATAAGGCTAGACTGTTTTGAAGAGAACAAAAGAAAGTGAATTTTCTTCATTGGTTAAAGTAAGTGTGGTCTCAAGTATAGGGTTTTCGTTACAGTTATACTGTTGGTTTGAATTTTTTGTATTTTTTTTCTGTCAATGCTTCTTCTAAAATACTATATTCTATTATTATTACTTGTTGAAGATCAACAATTTGTATATAAACATAATTTTTTTGGCATTCATAATGAATTCAAAATGTACACAGATCATGGTAGCACGTATGTGCCCTCTATCTCGATTGATTTTGTACACACATACTTCTCTGGCTTTTGTAACCGATCAAATAGGCTGTTGATTGAGAACCGGCTTATGTTTTTTGGAACCTGGAACATTGTCCAATTTAAAGTCTTTTAATGCATTAAGCCACATATAATTGTATCACAGTTAAGTCACCTGAGAGTTGGCTTCAACTTGACTTTCAATTCTAAATTGCTAAACTCGCTATAGGGACTCATGATGTGAAACTATTCCACTACTGAACTTGCTAAACCCTAGTTAAACATAAGATTGGGGTTTTTATTTACACCTTTTATCGGTTTAACCTTCATTCTATACAAGAAATATGGACCAGATAATAATTGAGAATTATTTCATATGGATCAATGAGGGTGACATGGACATTTTTTTGGATAAGCTTGGCGAGGAGAGCTCTGGTGACTCTGTCGTCAATCACCACCATTGTCTTCTTCTCGAATACTCTTCTTGTTTCATCCATCTCCAATGCTTGTATCGTATCGAAAAGCTCAAACAGTATGTATGTATATATACGCCCAAGGGCTAATTTTATTGAAATTAAAAAGATACATAGAGGTTGTATGAGAGGACCCAAAAAAATGTGTTTTGCCCATACGATACATCAGACACTAACATCCTAAAAGGATGAAACATAGATAAAACACAAAAAAAAAAAACTTGCAGGAAATAAGCTGCTAGGCACGAGCCAGCATGGTCTTGCCTCTGTCTCTGGTTCTAGGAGCGGAGATAGCTAACAAATTGCTGAGTGTCGTTCCATTACCCGAAGTTACTAGAGTATCATCCATTAAGTTCTCAAGCTGGGGTGTGCCTCCATTCTTCTTTTTGTTTCTAGATGTGTAAACCTGCCATTCCTCACACTGACTTATCTGATCGGTATGGTCAATAGATTGTTGGGCATGTAGGAGACAGTGAGCCCCCAGCTCCTGACTAGCAGTAACAAAATTCTGATTCTGAAGAGATGGTAAGCATGTCTTTTCAACACCGGGTGCATCCTGGGGATGTGAAGCTTCAATACTATCATGATTGTCTGACCCAAGTAAACCATCTGCCAATATATCAGTCGGAAGAACAGAGACAGTATTGTCTTCGGTAGTGGGATGGGGAGGTGACATCGTTTCAACCGGTGTTTCAATAGTCTGTGGAATGCACTCAGGAGCGGAGGAGGGACAGGTATGACGTGGGGCAGATCCAGAAGCATTTTTACTTGAAGGTTTTAAATTCGGATGCAACTGATAACATTGAGAAGGAGAATGTCCAAACATACGACAATGAGTACAATAAAGTAGTATATGTTTAAGTTTTGCTTGCTGCCAAAATTCCTGATGTTGTGTGCCAATCCATATTTCTCTCGAAAAATGTAAAGTAATATCCCTTTCTATCAAAATTCTAGCTTCTGAAAGTCGAGTCAGATTCACTGTAGGCGTGTAAGCTTTGAGGGGTTTACCGTATACCATCTTTAAAGCGAAGAGAAGCTGTTGATCAAAAAGGTGGATCTTCAAACCTGGGAAGCGCAGCCAAACAGGAATGGTAGGAGGTCCAATACGGGGGTCAAAATCCACCGTCCATTTTAAAACCTTCATCACCTGGTTTTCTATTCGAAGAACTCTTCTCACAAACATTTGGGCGTAGTCTTCGCCATTTGATAATTGAATAAGAATGTGGCGACCATCCAATTTATCGATCTTCCAACCCCCTTTCAGCTTCATTTGCTCAAATTTCTTTTGAATTAGCTCAAGTTTAGGGTTTTCATAAAGAAACTTACGTACTAAAAACAGTCGGCAGGGCGCAGTTAGGGTGGAGATTTCTGCCTCAGTGAGAAAGATTGCAGGTTTGTCGTTTTTATGGGAAGTTTTTTTGAGAAATCCGGTTTCAATGCCAAGAGCAAAATTGTCGTGGTATCGTTGCGGGAACATATTTGAAAGAGGAGCGGAGACGGGTTTATCACTGGCGATAGCGGCTGCGTAGGAACGTCTTGAAACCATTTCTCATGTTCAACAACAGCTGAGAACTCGCGACTAAGAAGTTTGGAGAGCCGAACGAAGCCGGGAGCCGCAGAAGCGAGGCGCAGCTGACAGACGCGCGAACAGTGCGCAACGGACAGGAGCCGCAGAAGCGCGACCACAGGGCACAGACGCACGTAACACTGCGCGACGAAGAAACAACGCCAAACGATGCGGATGAAGCGCGATGGAGAAGATACAACGAACTGCAATCGACGAGGAGATCAGGTTTCGCCATGTTGGCGAAACCCTAGCAGAAAGAAATCGGAACAAACGCATCGCCGAGGATAGTTATTATATAAACTCATATATATATGCAAGATATGGTCGAGCAGCTAGACTAGTACACCAAGAGAACAACGTTTCTCTCATTAATCGGGACAGGAGAACGACATTTCTCCCATTAATTAGGATATGATAAGGTGGAGCGTTGAATCTAAGCAAACTGAAGTTCTGGTCCACAATATAAAAAGAAAAAAAAAAGGGTGGTTCAATTTCCACTTCTCAAATCCAACTAACCAATTAAATTAAATATGAATTATTATAATGACTAAAACCCGCTATAGGGATTGAGTCTATGCACACTGGAACTGAAGCGTTGTATTTTTGTTTGATACTTATGGAGTAAACTCAAATTTGCTTAGATTCAACGCTCCAACTTATCATGTCCTGATTAACAAGAGAAAGATTGTTCTCTTGGCGCTACTAGTCTAACTGCTCAACCATATGGATATGCATATACATATACATATACATATACATATGGATATGCATATACATATCCATATCCATATACATATGCATATACATACGCATATGCAAATACATATGCATATACATATACATATACACATACACACACACTATTTGAGCTTCTTGATACAAGCAATGGAGATGGACGAAATAAGAGAAGGTGAATCCAAGAAGAAGTTGGTGGTGGTGATCAACGACAGAGTCTACGGAGGTATCCTAGCTAAGCCTCCAGAAGCATATCCATTTCACCCTCATTGATCCGAATGAAAAAATTCTTTATTATTATCTGCTTCAAATTTCTCGTATATAATGAAGGCTAAATTGATAAAGGGTGTAAAAAAAAAACTTAATCTTATGTTTAATTAAGCTTTATAATTGTACAAAACTTAAATTATCTACGGTCTTTATCAGATTGGGTCAACTATATCCTTTGATTAAGTAGATGAGGGATTAGATAGCCCAGGATGACAAAATTATTGGATTTTGATCGGGCTTGTCATTGTTCCCTCACCGTCCACTCTAAGCTAATGGTGATCAATTTAATTATTTTAAAATTTAGTCATTGTTATTAGACGATGAGTTTGGACACTTATCACCTTCATGACCATCCTTAATCAAAAGTGCTATCCCGTTATCGGAAGGGGTAAATAATTATAGGGGTTTGCACCTATGAAAAACCTTGTCCCCGGATAAAAAAATCCTTATAAAGTGAGTAAGAAATCTCTAGATTGTCTTATCTAAAATTTTAATCTCTTTTAAAAATTTAACTCAACAAACCAAAAAATTCAAAAAAAAACCTCTAGTGCAAGAAGTCAGCGCATCAAATGTTTAGAGCCCACAAGTTGTTCAACTTTTATTTTGTAAATTAAAATCCTCCCTAGTTTAATTTCATTACAGATGTTACGATCATATACAAAATGAATAGGTTGAACTCAATGGAACCACTTGAGTAATCAGCGATCTAAGCTTAAAGTTGTTTCTAGCAAAAGGAACTACAAGAATGTTCTCTCAAAGAGTTTTTCATTGAGGACCTCTAGTTGCATGATGAATACTCTGGTTGAGCTGATGAATTCTTTGGGTGAATGGTTATGATTTGTGGGTGACTTCATTAGTCTTTCAAACTAGTTCAACAACTTCTAACAATGGGTCAAGCTAGATCTAACTCTTTTGAGACTAATTATAATTTGTGGGTGGCTTCATTAGTTTTTCAAGCTAGTTCAACCACTTAGAACAAATCTACGAGCTAAATCTAACTCTTATGAGACTTATTTGAGTTCCGCTAAGTTAAATTTTTAAGAAAAGGATAAGACGAGAGTGCCTATGAACCAACTCTTAAGGTATTCACAACCTAAAATTGAGATGAGATTGTGAGTGTCAGCATGCATACCATTGACATCTGCTAAATGCCCCCCAACTAGCCCAACCAGCTAGCATCTAAAAAGATTTTTGGTGATGGCGAGATCCTTTTCAATGATGATATGTTTATCCTGAATAAGTGACTTTGAAAGCGTCAAAGCCGAACAAAGACATTGATGATGCAGTTGCTGCTAATATTGGGATTAAGCATGTTTGAGAAATGATAGAGGGTCGGTATACTCAATAGTGTGGAGGAAGCATAGCAAGAGGAGAGTGGGCTTGTTGGTGAGGACGAAGCGACAAGAGGAGAGTGCATTTGGAACAATACCCTCTAGGTGTGCTTTATTTGTGAGGGAAGGGTATTGTGATTTCGGTTGATACATTAATTATGATTTATGCATAGATTTAACTTGTCCATTAGCATAATTGAAAGGCTTATTAAGCCGGATGGGATCACTTTTTGTTGGGGTTCTTGCGGCTTGTGCGAGGAGTGGAATGGTTGAGGAGGGATTAAAATTTTACAAGACGATGAAGGAAGACTACAAGATAGAATGTGGATCGAAGCACTACGAATGTTTGGCTGAGCTTCTGAACATTGTCTCTATACACGAGAAGCCTGCCGAGCTTTCTTCTGAAGGAGAAAGCAAGGCGATGGATATCAAGGATAAGGCTAGACAATTTTGAAGAGAACAAAAGAAAGTGAAGTTTCTTCATTGGTTAAAGTAAGTATGGTCTCAACTATAGGTTCCGTTACAGTTATACTGTTGGTTTGAATTTTTTGTATTTTTTTTTCTGTACATGCTTATGCAATACTATATTCTATTATTCTAACTTGTTGAAGTTCAGCAATTTGTATATAAACATAATTTTTTTGGCATTCATAATAAATTCAAAATGTACACAGATCATGGTGGCACTTATGTGCCCTCTATCTTGATTGATTTTGTACACGCATACTTCTCTAGATTTTGTACCCGATCAAATAGGTTGTTGATTGAGAACCGGCTTATGTTTTTTGGAACTTGGAACATTGTCTAATTTTAAGTCTTTTAATGTATTTAGCCACATATAATTGTATCACAGTTAAATCACTTAAGAGTTAGCTTCAACTTGACCTTCAATTATAAATTGCTAAACTTGCTATAGGGATTCATGATGTGAAACTATTCCACTAATGAACTTGCTAAACCCTACTTAAACATAAGATTGGGGTTTTTATTTACTCCCTTTATCAGTTTAACCTTCATTCTATACGAGAAAAATGAAGCAGATAATAATTGAGAATTATTTCATATGGATCAATGAGGGTGACATGGACATTTTTCGGGATAAACTTGGCGCGGAGAGCTCAGATGACTCTGTCGTCGACCACCACCATTATCTTCTTCTCGGATACACCTTCTCTTGTTCCGTCCATTTCCATTGCTTGTATCAAGAATTTCAAACAGTACATATATATACATATATATATATATAGATCCATCCATCCATCCATCCATCCATCCATCCATCCATCCATCCATCCATCCATCCATCCATCCATCCATCCATCCATCCATCCATCCATCCATCCATCCATCCATCCATCCATCCATCCATCCATCCATCCATCCATCCATCCATCCATCCATCCATCCATCCATCCATCCATCCATCCATCCATCCATCCATCCATCCATCCATCCATCCATCCATCCATCCATCCATCCATCCATCCATCCATCCATCCATCCATCCATCCATCCATCCATCCATCCATCCATCCATCC